CCCCTCCTGAGCCCCAGTGTAACCCGTGGGGGCACAGTGCCCTCTGATGAGCTGCATCAGTGTCACCAGGGTGATTGTCACTAGGGCGCTGTCTCATTTCTGAGATCCCTTTTGCTCTTCAATGAGAGGTGGGCACTCTCTGGGACTCTGGGGTGTCAAGGGTTACTGGGGCTATTTCAGTGATTGTGCCTGCAGCCCCCAGCCCGGCTGGGCCTTGGGGGCCTGTGTGGGGAGCCATGGTTCCCCTATCTCAAGGGGGGGGGGGGGGGGCTGGGGCCAGCAGAGTAGGACAGGAGAGGGAGACCATTTTTCATTCCCCCCCGCCCCAGGCCTCTAGGCAAGGGTAGAGCTTGTGGGGAGAGGGAGGGCAGTTAGCCTGGAGCCCCGCAGGTGGCGGCAAAGGGCTGGGGCAGGGGCAGGAGCGGGAGCGAGGCCTGTTTCTGCAGCTGTTTTCCACCTTCCTGTGGTGATGAGGGTGGGGGCAGGCTTTGCTTCTCAGGGGGCTGGGAGAATTAACCCTTTAGGAAGGAAGCAAAGCAGGCCGGAGGAGGCTGAGCTGGCCTGACTGTAGCAGGGTGATGGTGAGTGACCTCTGGCTAGATCCACGGCCCTGAAGTCGGGGCCCACTCCCCTGCTAACCTTACCTGGCAGCCCCATGCCACCCTCTACACTCCCCCCACCTCAGCCTGTAGGATTGGCGGGGCAGGGGGCTGTAGCCCCACACCTGGGCCAGCTAGCCCTGACCAGGTGAATCTAATTTCTCCTCTGTGCACGTGGGTCCCAGAACCCCCAGAGATGCTGTAAGGGCACAGGCAGCCCCCACCGGAATCCACTCTGTCCAGCACCCTGGGGGAGGCCAGTATAGACAGCGGGAGAGGGGAGGACTGTTTCAAAACAACTTTTTTTTTCATTCCCAATCTGCAGGGGAGAATGGAGACCAGGGCTGTTCTCTGGGTGTGGAGCAGGGGGATGGGGTGGGGTCTGGAAAAAGCCAAGAGCTGTTTCCACTAGCTCAGTCTGGCGCAGTGAAGGGACAGGATCCAAAGGCCTTTGGTTTCAGGAGCAGCCCCCCACCCAAGCCCCGGGGGCTGCCCCAGGGAGGACGCCAGCCAGCCCACCGTGGGCCCAGGGGAAGTCAAAGCCGGCAGAGGTCCATTCTAGCGCTATCTACCACGGACCCCCAGGTGGGGAGAGGACAGGCGGTGGTGTGTGTGTGTGTGTGTGTGTGTGTGT